TTGGTCCCCATATGGTGCTGTCATACACTTTTCCGTCGTGGTCCTGAAAAGAAAATAAATCTGTATGCATATCGACATGCCCGTTATTCTTGGGTTTATACTTTCTCCAAAAAGACACAACACATCCTTAACTATTCAAAAAAGACTACAATTAATACCGAAATTTTCAAATTCGTGTAAAACATTTAAATCTCAAGATTGCAGTCAAATGTTAAATAATATAGATATTTAACTATGTCCGACATCTTGTATAAAACTTGAAAAGATGTGCATTTTGGAAACACATACAAAGGGTACAATAAGATAACCGTATAATTGATGCATTTCATAGTAAAGCATCAACAAGCGTCTATAAGCCAACCAAATCTTCGAAGGAAAGGTAAATGCTTGTATCTGGTATTTAATACAACAAATGCATTGATAATGCAAAACTGTGTGACAAGACCTAATTGGCACAACAAATATTGCCACAAACGCTCAATGAATCTCATCAGTAGGCCATTGTCTAGATAAATGCCAAATGAAAAGTACATAATGACTGTTACATATATTATACCGAAACGCCAAATTTATACCTTTTCTTTAACATGATTTAATGTAATTCAAACTTAAATGTACAATACTTGACTTGGTTTTTTTTTCTCTTGTGGCGTTTCTTTTTGTGTAGAGTCTTGTCGGGTAAAATTTTATATCAATTAATCACTTATCTTAAATAAAACAATAAAAATAATGTACCGGAAATTTTCAATTTAGAATCATTCCCTTGACTTTTAGTTTTTACTGTGTAGGTTGCATGTTGCGTTAGCGTGAGGAAACGCAACAATCTACAAATCTTCCGTTTTTTAGATTAATATCAATATCAATAAAAGAAAAACAATAATATTTGTTGTCTGTAAGAAAGGTGTTTTACGCAATATCACGCAATATCAAGCGCAATATACTAGCCAGGGTAGAGAAGACAGTCGAAAAAGCAGTCATAAATTCCATCATTGACATAATACATTCTAATTTGTTTAACCAGTGTATCTGTGTAGCCATGTAGTTCACCATCTGGAAATAACATTCGACAATATGTGACACATGTATGTTAATAAAAACTCAATCTACAACAAAAAGTTAAGCCAAACCCGGACAAGCAATTAGAGCTATTCATAAAAATATGCATTATTTTGTTTGAAATCATTTCCAAAATGTATTTCAATAAACCAATTTTGATATTTTCATGCCAGTACTTGCTAAAGGGCTGGTGAAGCCCTTTTGGACTTGTAGCTTGTTCCTTGAAGAGGAGTCGATATATTACGAATGTTATCTCCAGCATTTGGAAGTACAAATGTTATTGCAAATGTTAAAGTATATTTATCAACATTATACATGATTAATAGATATTAATATTTGTTTTTGTTAATATATATCGAATTTATACAAACCACGTGTTACATTTTCAATTTCTCTATCAACATTTTTCTTCGCTATGATATTGGTTGCTATTGTAAAAGCCGAGGATACGTAAAACTGTCCAGGTTCAGCTATTACTCTAACAACCTTCCCTTTGAAATATTTTTCCAACGATTTATTCACTAGGGCAGATATCTATAAGAAGATTTTGCATTAATGTATAAAGTTAGTAACTAATGACTTTTTAAATGAAACAATTTACATAATCGACTAATGTGTTCTCTGTTAAGTTTTGTATTCATATACATTTATAAGTTCTTACTTTTTATAAATGTATTAACATCCGTAAATTACTGATGATTATTATCACTATCAATATGTGCTCTGTTTGATAATTTTTAAAGAAAAATTATATGATAAATGGTGCAATTGCTTTAATTAATATAAGTGTTGACATTTTGTTCCTTTCCACTTATTATTTTCTAGAAGAGCCTTTAATTGCATGAAACAATGCACAAAAAGTGTAGCAATTATTGGAGGAGTCATATTTCTTTTAAGAACTAATTATTGGTAACCCCTTATTTGAAAATAAACAAAAAAAAGTTACAAAAAAGTAGATATAAGATTACTTTTGTTATTATTTTCCTGTTAATTGTTTTGTTTTAGAGCAAGGCAGTATATTATATTAAACATATATAAAATGAATATCTGGGGTTCAAAGTGATCTATAAAGTTGTTGATATTGTCAGTGTGTACGGTGAATAGGAAATATGGATGATAAATTAGAGGTTTTTTTTTTAGTTTTCTTGCAAAAATATTTTTGTATCGTATTCTTCATCGCTCCTTTTTTCATGGTAAACTGAACAAATCTTACATGCCTTACAGTATGGAACTGTGTTATCGGTATACAGATGCATTTCATTGAATTGAATGCAACTCTTTCATCTGCATTAAGTAAGTAGCCATGATCGTAGTCTGTTGAATTTAGAATCTTTGCTTATTTTTCGCTTTTCATCTTTAAAATTAGTGTTCAAAGGTCAGATAAAGATTTGCAATAGTTAAATATTAGTTGTATGCCACAGCAGTATCGTAATCGTCTTTTGTTATTAACCTTGGATATGGTTCATCGATCTTAAAGTTTAAATTTGTTAGTAGGTCAGATAAATGAAAACAATGTGTAACGTGACTAGTTTTTGTAATATTCGTAAGTAATATGGTAAATACAGCATCATTGTTTCTCAGTGTTGTAAGTACCATGTTTCAAAAAAATGTGTATACTCAAAATTATAAATGGGGTCAAAATGGGAATAGAGTCCTATTGTGATGCTTAGATTCATTATTTGCAACTTTATGTTTAACATAGATAAACATGGATATTTCTGTGACCACTGTTTATTGACATGTTACTATAAAAGTTGATGTTGACTTTTCAATAAAAAAAAAGACAGGCCAATGCACTGTATTTTACAATACGAACCGTACTAAATATAACGAAATCTCGATATAAAGACAATCATATTTTCTTAAGTACGCCTATACAGACATATCAGATATCAGTAGGATCCTAAGGGGTTGTTGTGTATAAATAAAACCCAACAAATCAGAATCCTTCATCGAATTAAAACATTTCGCTGCTTATAGTGAGCCATTTTAATACCTCTTTAAACAACGTGTTTTTATCATTTTGGACGTTTCTTCCGGGATAACCGCCACCTATGTTCAACAGTGTCATATCGAACCCCATAGCAAGTCCTATGTCAAATACATGTCTTGACTCCTCTAACGCTGCTTCATAAGCTGCGGCTTCCTGGCAACCACTTCCAACATGGAAACTGTAATATTGTTAAAACTCTTAGACAACCAAAATATACCGCCTTGATTTTGAGATCATCACTTCCTTTCCTTCAAAATATATTTTGAATGCACCTTTAAAGGACTGTCTATAGCTGGTTATTATCTAACGCATTTGATCACTTCATAGATGATATTCAAATTGAGTTATCCCTGCTTATTTGACATGTTTGACTTTCTTTCGATTATGTAATGAACAGTACGAATTAAACTTAATATCTTTTTAAATACTGAATCAAAGTACAGTTTACATACGAAATGGTATGAATTTGCTAAATTTTGTTTGAACTACATGCATCAGCATTCTTCTCTGAATGTTTTCACTTCAAATGTTCCAAAAAAGCGGAAAACATATATAATGACTTATCGAATCTTAAATTCTATTTTCATTAAAAATACACTTGTAACCTGAAACTTGTCGTTTTACACTTATCTTTAGAAACGGATACATAATGTTGACTCGCGTGACTTTATATTGTTTGATCAATGTGTCAGAATATATGCTTGATTTTTCTAATATTAGTTCTTAATACTACAGACGAGTATATTTGACCAAATTATGTCATATGGATTATAGCGGTGAATGCTCTAGATAATACATAAATGTGCACTTTGAAGGTAATTGTTTTTAGACATTTAATCTGACAAAATTAAATTGTTGATTGTAGTAATAGTTTTCACATCATGATTTGAGAGTTTAACCAAAACAAAAACAAATTCGAGTGAGGAGATCTAAATCAAAATAAGTATCTCACCTTACACCAATTACGTTTAATTTGAGTTTCTTTGCAAATTTAAGCAGCTGTGATGCTTTCAAAGGATGACATCCGAACTTCATTTTTAAAGGATGTTTCACCTTGTGGTTTGATTGTGGACATATTTGCAATACCTGTCTTCAAAACAGGAAATAAACATTTTAGGAAACAGTGACATAAAAAGCCAAGTTTAAAAAATTAATATACCATGTCATTCTAGACATGAGGTATAACACAGCGGGAGAACAAGAATCCTACACTTTGTACCTGTTTTGGTGTTAGAAATATAACTTATATCTTTGTATTCTACCAAATTATTTTTACAATTAATTGAATAAAAGAGATGTTGGGTATATATCAATGAGACATCATTCTTACATTTTTTTCATTCGTGTATATCCATTTTGAATGTTTCAGGTTTCTTGGAATAATTTTTGTAATTGCTAAAACTAAAGTCAATTTGATCAGGAACATTCTAATATAGCAAGAAAATGTTGGTCAGATGGAGAAACATGAAATTTCCAGTCAATAGCAACGATACGATTGTTACCAAACAAAATACGAGACGTGTCATTTATACATCACTCACGTTTATTGATTTTTTGAAGTATAATCAATGTATACTATTCGCGACACTTTTAATACTACCGTTCACGAACAGGTTGACGGTTTCATAGCATTAAGGTGCTCTGACTTGTGTCTCCTAGAATAGAGGAATTGAATTGGTCCTATTCTATTAACGATTTTATCTGTATTTACCTGTAATTACAAATTATAAGTCATTTCGGTAAAGTAGTTTGCATCATGAAATTGTATGAAATTATAATTCTGATACGTTTTTGTGAAATAATTTTTATCAGATACGTCCCAGAAAAACAAATTAGAAAGGCGAATTCACATGCAGCAAAGCACAAATACATTAACAGAACAGCCATTATCGTTAGTCTACTTTGTCTGAGGGAGTTATAACATTTGTTTTAGTATTTACACAATCAAACTGAAGCCAAAATCTAAGAGTATCAGTCAAATCATGTAATTAGCAAGCACTGCATACGGAGCAGATTATTTCAGTGCATATTGACAGTATATTGGCACTGGCACAGACCCTATTGCAGAAAGTTGACAGTGATAGTCGCGGCTGACAGTGTTTTAATCAAAATCAATACAATATTTGAGACCATCAAAATCAAAAGGACAGTGACTCAACTATGAATATAAGTATATAACATTAAGTCTATGCCTAAATACTTTGCGGCAGGATATACTTCTTTGATCTTTTCTAGTTCATCCTCACAATCAAATGTCATCATAGCTACGTCATTATCAGCGGCATATCTCAAAAATGATAACTGCTTATATGGATTGGCATAGATTATTCTGGTCGGATCAACCCCAAGATCCAGAATTTTCTGTATTTCAATCTAAAGAGAAAACAAATATCTTAAAAAAAAGGTTATCGCTACATAAATTAATCAATTATCCATCAAGGTATATATTTTCAGAGGGAAATGAACAGGTTCGAACTCAGAGAATTAAAGCTAGAAGTAAATATGTGGAAAAGCAATACTATATATTACGTCTTCATTGCATATAATGAATTTCATTCTATATGCATGGAAAACACGCAAGCTTGCGACATACCATATGATGACCACATACCAATTATATATGTACTGTTTCTTTTTATACACTATACTTTTTTCGATCACAAACTCATTTTATGTCATGTTTTTTTTTTCTTTCTTTCTCAGGTACTACAACAATAACGAAGCGTCCATATTTATGAGAAACATATTAGGATTATTTACAATGATAATTTTTCATTAATAAAATCATCAATGATACCAGTCTTATATTTCAGAATGTCAGACGCGTGCGTTTCGTGTACATAACACTCATCAATGTGATCGAATCAAACATGTAATAAGGCCTTGGCTAATTTTTAGACCTTTTGTTTAAAACAAGAAGTTACCAGGGGCAGTAAAATTAAAAAGCAGTAATTACTTTGGTCATGCGAGTCAAAATCCGCTGATAAGTTCAATTCAGTTACTTCACAATCAATTAAGAGAAGAAGTGATTTAGGTTATGACAAGTGAAACATATTATTGGTCATCTGTAACCAAATTAAGCAATTAAATGGTAATAGGAAAAGACGACAAAGATAAACAATAGCTTCCCAAAAAATATAATTATTATACACATTACTTTATACCAAGGGGGAAAGTATTTTTTGCTTTTATTCAGTTGTTGCATACTTGGTGTAATAACAAGTAAATTATCCAATGATAATTATTTTCTGATGACACATCATAAACAAAACGAATGACAGTATTCTGACAGCAGTAACTGGAACAGTAAAACAAAGGAAATGGCAAATAGGCAATCACAAACATCATGTCGAATAAATACAGACAACGCTTAGGTCAAAAAGGAAGGGAAAACACAAAAATAATATTGAACAAATATGAACAGCATCAAAAACCAGTAGTGCACCAAGTTGTTCCTGTAGGGAAAAAAATTCTTGTTTAACACATGGCACCCGTATCGTTTTTTTCTAACACGAGTCAAAATCCGCTGATAAGTTCAATTCGATTATTTCGCAATCACGCAAGAGAAGGGATATCGGTTGTGACAAGTACAAAAATGTTTTGACCATCTTTAACATAAATATTCAAAAAACGGTCAAAATGAACAAAATAAAAATCCAAATATTATCTATAGTCCAAATACTATATGAAATGTAGTTTATTATCAAATTGGATTTATTGGTACAACTTTATTTTATTTCAATCACTTTTAGTTTCCATGTTATTTATCTTCAAATATATTGCTTCATACATGTCATATTTAAAAAAAATACGATGTTAAATTCACTGCGCATGTACATTTAATTTTGTGAAGACACTAACAGAGTGCAGTTTTTGAAAAATAATATAATAGCATATTTAGGAAAATGGTAATATGCAGAACTAAGCCTTTGTCCTATCTTTGTTTTGAAATAGAAAATAGAAATCGTTAATTATTGGTCGTGTATCTATAGATGATACGTTATTTGTAATCACTTGATATTCCCTACGGTTTCATATCTATTATATCACCTTGCTTGCACAATCAAAGGACAGCCCCATGTCTGCCATTAGCCTCAGAACAGGATAAAAATCATTACATTTCACTGCTGTAAAGCAAGAATAAAAACAATACTTTATGAACCAACAAAATCTCTAAAATATCAAAATAATACTTTATACAGTGACTTTTTGAGTATGAGTATTGGTTCTTTAACTGTTATCTTGTTTCGTGTAGCTCAGTCATTAGTTTTCTATGTTGTGTTTTGTGTACTGTTGTTTTTCTTTTCGTCCTTCTTTCTGTTATTCCATGGAATAGTCAGTTTGTTTTCGACTCATACGTTTGAATGTCATTTTGGTATCCTTTGCCTCTCTGTTACAATGATTATCAAGTATTTAGTTATGATCATACGTCGTATGTGGGATTACTTATCACCACCTCAGAAACATTAAAATTTACCATGATAATGACAGAAATAACAGACATTTATAATATTATCAAAGGTATCATAGTTTAGTGTAGAAGTCGTCGTTAGGTTATGTCTGTCATGTTTGTTTTTTTATTTTTTTTGGTAAATTGTTTTGTTAGAAATTATGCCGTTAGTTTTCAAAATTGGATTCATATTTATCATGTCGGGGCCTTTTATAAACCATTAAATGGTATGGGTTTTTTCGCATTGTTGAATTCCGTTCGTATGCCCATAATTGCTTACATGCACTTAATTTGAACTTAAGCGGATAGTTGATCATAAGTGATCATACCATATCTGCTTATTTTTATATTAGTACGAACGCCACTATTGGGTCTTATGAAGACCAAACGCGCGTCTGTCGTACAAAATTATAAACCTGGTATCCTTGACAAGATTCTACAACCACTTGGTTGATGCCTCTGCTGATAGGGTTTCGTCCCAGATGGTATCACCAACCCAGTAGTCAGCATTTTATTGTTGATATGACATATAATTAATATGCTTATTTTCTGTAATTTTTCTAATTACAAATTGCCATATTCTTTGATACGTATACGCAATAGAATGTAAAGATGACAATAGGAATACTGATGTCATAAATCCTATTTATCAGTTAGAGATTAGCATCATTTTCAAGAAAATTTACCTGATAAGACAAGACCTGTTTGTCTCTAAGTTTATCTAAATGGCAAGTTGGTAGAGTTACAAGTTATCATTCAGTCGACACCAAATCAGTTTTGTGCGTTGTGTACTGTCCTGGAGGCTCCTTTTTGTTACTCAAAACTGGTTTTGTAAAATACAGAAAACATTATCATCTATAAATACTTACCATAGAATGGTACAACTGTCGGAAAGCATTTTTGCCAAATCCTGTGTTTTCTGATAATGTCTCCTAGATCGCCAATAAAGAAGGGATTCTCCTATCAAATATATAGATTGATCTATAATTTCGTAACTAGTGCTTGAAATATCATGTTTGTAAACAACCACTTCAATGATTGAGTATAACAGCTTCTCTTGTTTTTGAATGCACTGTATTATGTGTATATTATTATTGTTGTCGAGGTGTCACTTAACGCAGACATAAGTGTCACTTGTTTACTATTCTTTTCTGAGTCGACATGTTTTTTTTTTAATTTTAAAAGTGATTTTAAAATTAAATTTGTAATACCTCTTCTTCTTAAATGCTTATTTATCGTAAAATGTCAATCATAAATCTTTAATTTGTGATTGTAAGAAAAATCAATGCTTTCAATATTTGCACTTTTGTGTAAGAGCTATACTATTAATCTCTTGTAATTGGTCCAAATTTTTTTTTTAATGCTTTAAAAAAAATTACACTGCATTAATATGTCGATTACTTTTCGTCACCTAAGATTCCAATAAAATTCTTGAATTAAGACTTTATGATGATTTGTTCGAAATATGTAAATACTAATTGATTTATATGTGTGTGTGTGTTCCGAATGTCCCCTCAACTTATTTATTTACACATATAGAAGAAGTTAATATCAACCTATAATAATGTTACGCTTTATGATTAAATAACCTTATGTAATTATGAAATCATAGTATACTTTGAAGCTCTGTAAGTTGAATTGAATAAAAATATGACAAAAATAAGTTTATTTTGTTACTAAAAATAAAGCAACATACATCCGATCTAATCTGGTGAATCTTCTCTTTGATTAGACTGTCAATGGAATGTTGCCTTTCCACTAACTCAATCTGGCTATTTGTGCTATCTTGGAAATAGTACGTCATACTTCCTCAGGTTTACCTTAAAATAATGATGTTAGATTGTAATAATCTCACATTTTATATAGGGATGCCTTCCAAAATACAATGCATTAGTTATCATATTTTCCATGGTTTAGTCTGTCCTTTTAAACCCGTCTGATTGAATAGCTCCCCCTATTTTGATACATTGTAAGCTTTAAAAACGTTTACTAGTACAGGACACAGTTATCGTCCTTTGATTTTCGTTTTCTACGAATAGAGTCCCTAGTGTGAACAGTGTATAACTTGCAATTTCTTTTCATACACCTTACAAACTTATTTCTTGATACTTTATGCCTTAAATAGTAAGTAAGGGGATGAAATTACATATACAACAAATTAAAGGCATGAATTTTTAGGTAAAACAGTGATTTGGTCCAATTTGAAAAGGTCTAAAATTAGTATGTCTGAAGCTGTCAAACGGAATTACAGACCCCTTTAACATAAAATGATCCATTCTTTGAGTTAGAGCCGATATACTTGTCTATAATTTTGATATAATTTGTCCCAAAAGTAGTACACTACAATGTAAAAATCTTTTTGAAAGAGCAGGTGCGATTGTTTTAATTTGCGTTTTTGTCTGAAAGAAATGCACTACGAAATAACTGTGTTCTCAGGCCTAAGAGGTTAATTCAGTAAACGTCGATACTGTACCTTGGCAACTTCCCTGAATGATTTGAGGGTATCAACTTATCAAACTTAATGCAATTAATGGATTTCCATCTTTATATGATTGCAACTTTTTAAAAATGTCCAATTTTAGCAATATATGGCTGAAATAAGCGTTTTTAAGCTATATCCATTTCTATGCCTGAGGAGCTAGCCGACTTTCTATCTGACAGGTTTTCATGTTTTGATATTTATGTTTCTATGGTTATTTCAAATCTTTTTAATCATATGTGAACCTTGAATCTAGAGAAAAGTAGATTATCACAGAAAAAATGATCAAAATTTTTGTTGTAATTATGGTCCTGGTCTAACGGCCTGTTTGAAGGAAGTGAAATGTAATGAGCTATGTACATAAAAGTTAAAGTCCATTATGAAGAGTTCACTAAATCTGTAAAAAAACTCAAATAAAGAAGCGCTTTGAGTTAATAAAAAATCGCTGTTTGAATCTTAACCGTTATATGTAACGTCATTTAGAATATTTCGATAGCTCATTAACTCAATCCCTATTATTTTAATCAAGGAATATGATTATCCATATACACTTCTTATTTCCAATATGTGATAGTATCTGTTAAATACATTCCCATCTTGTTATACTCGGGCGATTCAGATACAAAATTATATAATTGCCCTTACATGTGTTTTTATTTGTATTTAATTTGTTTCAAGCAGTTTAGTAATTTAAATAAAATGCATTAAGGTTTATCCGACATCTCCTTTTATTCATATATATTTTGTCTCTGATGAAGTACTTTTTTAATAATCACTTGTCGTTCATTTGTACATTAGATATAATCAACAAATTAGTAGTGCACGAATACACCTCCGCATCAAAATAAAATTAAAAAGCTATCATGTAAAAATTCATAAAATGATTAATATTCAATTTGTTTAAGGAACATGAAAAATATTAAATATCAATTTAAGCTAGTCCGTCTTTTAAAATTCTGTCATACGATCCTTAACACCCACACCACTTACATACAAAACAAATGTGTCATGTTTCATTGCCGTTCAACTATTGTATTCCTTTAATGTGTATTTTATGAAATGTTTAGACCAGTAAAACCTGTCTGTTTGTCAATCTTGTATCAAGTTAAAATTTTGAATAAGAAAGTTTATGATGAAGTGGAGATCATATAAACTTGAAACTTAGAGCCCATGCTCATTATGATATGAACATTTAAGATGTATGCCAAATTAGGGTTTGACCCAGATTACTTGGTTCACTGAACATGAATATGTGATAGTACAAGTATTGCATGGTGTCCTATTAGTAATCAGTATGGACACATACTTTTGTTAAATAATCCTGTTGTCATCTAGTAATTTCACTGAGCTTAGCTGTAGTTAGAAAATACTATTAACTTTTTATTTCTTTCAAAACCATTTGGAAATGTTGGGCATAATTGGTAGGAAAAGTATTGCCTCTGCTTCATTAGTGAACCTACAACATAAGCTGTCAATGATTTTGATGTAAAGAAATTTTGCTATCTTTCGTTTGATAAAATAGTATGAATTATTCTAAATACTAAGGATTTTCTTATCCCAGACATATAACCTTAGCCGTATTTGGCACAACTTTTTGGAACTATTAGTCCTCAATGCTCTTCAACTTTATACTTGTTTTGGCTTTTGAACTTTTTTTATCTGAGCGTCACTGGTTAGTCTTGTATGGACGAAACGCGCGTCTTGCGTATTAAATTTTAAACCTGGTACTTTTTGTTGGCTATTATTCGTATGTTCTCCCATTTATTTGTATTGTAGTCCTGTCATGTAATGTTGTCATTTTAATATTATATTTAACATTGCCATAAAAGCGGGAGGTTTGGCTAGCCACAAAACCAGCATCAACCCACTATTTTTCTCTTAAAATTTCCTGTACCAAGTCAGGAAAGTGGCCATTGTTATATTATAGTTCGTTTCTGTGTCTGTTGCATTTTAATGTTGTGTTTCTGTTGTGTCGTTGTTCTCCTCTTATATTAGACGTGTTTCCCTCAGTTTAAGTTTGTAACCCGGATTTGTTTTTTTCTCAATCGATTTATGAATTTCGAACAGCGGTATACTACTGTTGCCTTTATTTATGTTTATCTAAAAAAAATCTGTATACTTACATACATTTTGTGTAATAAATCATGTTTATTTTGTTGAGTAATTGAACGATAAAATGATACTGGTATGACCTTCGGCTACCTTATTTTAATTGTATGTCCAACATGAAAATTGAAAAGTAACATTTGATTGTACGTCCACTTTGAGATTAGTTACTGGTCAATATAAAAAGATGAAATCAGTTCGGAAAATCTCTAGGGTCTTATGATATTTTTGTTAAATTTGATATAGATTTAATTAAAGTTTCAAAAATGATCCCCTTAAACGCATTCTTAATGATATATATCGTCTATACAAAGACAGATATTCCGAACACAAAAATGCTGAATAGTTTTTTGCTTCATATAACACACCAAAGTTGTGAAACATAATTGTTTTTATTCAACGTAAATTACCCAAATGCGTAATATAAATATAACATTTCCAAGTCTAAATTGAAAACAACGTTCAAACCTATAATTGCGTTGGATAAAAACAGCTAGTTAGTTCAGACTGCAGAGATCTGGTCATTGATAAATTGACAACAATGTCTTCTGACCTTTATTTATGTGTTTACATTAATGACAGTTTTAATGTTCAGACCAGTTAAACCGCATTTTTGGATTAATTTAGGGTATATGCTAAAATATTGAGACAAATATATAAATTAATAAAATGTTTAGAACGTTAGATTTTTAATTTTTGATCAACTGAAGCAAATGCCAAGGAATAAAAACTCACTAGGGATGGTTATATCTAAAATTATAAGGCAATCGGCCATCCTACAAACTATTGTATTCTTATACATGTTATACAAGATACAAAAAATGTTGTACGAGTACCGATGTATAACACTACTTGTACAGCCATACCTTTTCTTACAAGATAAGAGAGAAAACATGTTCCTTGTTGTTGCTTTAACATCCACATATAACGGCTAGGACGGCTAGCTTCATACCATTATAAAATTATAAGACCCTTCCTATATTTGTTCCGTCTCTGTTTTCCTGAATCTCTGCCTGTTTAAACCTAATTCATCATTAGTTATTTCATATAAATCATTATTCATGAAACTTAAAATAATCTGATATTGTAAATTCAGAAATTTTTGCGAGGTTTTTATTATTGCGAATAATGTAACTAAATGAGTATCACAAAAATAAGAACTTGCATTCTGATATCAGATAAATATATCTATATGCAGGTTTACCTGATATTGCAATACTTAATCTTGCATTTTCTTCATTCTTCAAAAATCACAATAATAAATGCACGCAATAATTTATGAATTCACAGTATATAAACTTACCAGTGCACTTGGTTATCGCCAAATAAATGTAAAAAACGTCGGGTTAACCGACCGAATACAAATGGAGGAATCAGTGCATCTAATTTCCTGTTTGTTAAGTTTCATAACATGTGAATAAGTTGTTAAAAAAGTCAAATCTTATCTTATGTCATTGGTCGTCACAGTTTGAGAACCCTTACAATTTTACTTTAACCATGCTCTCACAATTTCTGATTTAACAAAATATATATCATAATAATTTTGTGTTCTTTCCCTTTTTCACAAGACATAATTAAATTATCTATTATAAATGATCGCCCAAAGTCCATCAGCTATTTTGTCTTGCCGTCAATATGTAATAAAATTATTATAACTACATTGGTTATAATGAAATACCGTGCTTTCCAACATACGAAAAGAGGCACAAGTGCTGACAACATCCACCGAGATGCAATTGTACAGTACAGTATCATAGAAAAAAGATCACCATTTCAATCCTATTTGTGCTGAGTTAACATCCAAAGGCGAATTTATGATAAGGCCACTATCTACAAAGCATTATTCCGTCCGATATCAATACTCTTAATTTTCAATTTTGTCTTACATATGTTAGTGCTGCAAAGTTTTTTCTGTTAACTGCTAAAAAAAGAAAGAAAAAAAAGCAGTTGTTAGCAAACCTTCCTTAACCTTGGACAGAGGTGTAACAGAATAAAATAAGAACAAAGTATAAAACTCAGTTGAAACGGTTTTATCTTATCAAATCAAAAATAAGTGCAAGAGGTACTGACACAAACACTATAAATACAAAATATACAGATCTGAGAGTACTCGCAGTTACTGTAAGCTAGTTCAAAGACAAAAAAAACTTAATAAAACAGTTATATCTATGCCTGAAATAAGTTAACGTCTCTTTTTATCGATACATGAAATACATTGTATTACATATTATATACGCACAATGGTATTTTACATTTATTCTTCTATTATGAATTTACAACATTCAATGACCTTTTCATATGTTGTACTCGTGAAATTCTTTATCATCGGTTGTTCAGTCTAGTGTTTCATCAACTGTTTTTAGTCTTTTGTTTCTCTTGTTTTTGTAATGGTGTTCTATGTGGTTTATGCTCCCCTTTAATATCATGTTCCCTCTTTCAGGCAGATAAAATATATTTAATTTACCAAATGAACCTCGTTAAGACCCGTTAAAGTGCCCTCTGATTTTATGATTATTTTATGATTATTTTATGAGTTTGTCCCATGAACGATAATTATAAAACCCAATACTGCCAATGTATTTTCAGAAACTTGATTTTCCAATTCCATTGACAATATTACCCAGACAGTTTTATTTTGTTATGTGGAATATGAGTTCATGTCTACTAAATTGACGAGTAGTGACAATGGACCATTTCGAATTAATTCACGAAATTCCAGATGCATCAAAGATGGGTTATTTAAATAAAAAATGATTAACAAGAAAACCGATCTCCAAGGTAAACCCGAAAAAAGAAAGTCAATAAAACCTGACAAAAAACCAAACGCTGGATTCTATCAACCAACAAAACAACTTGAAAATAATTGTCACATGCCCGACTCGGCATAGGCACATTTTGAAGAAAAAAAATATCGCATAACCAGCTAAACCTCCCGTCCGTATGACAGTTGTATATAGTTCTGTTGAATTGACAAACCGTGTAAGCAAACCAAACAGACACAATTAGCTATCACCACTATTGGTATCAAGCATCCAAAACCGTGCAAGCATACATCATATATATTCAACATAACAAATTGAAAAGCATAATCAAACATAAAATCAAATCTATAATAGACGCCAACAGAAACATTTTTTAGTTGACATTAAATATGATATATTACAGTGAAGTAATATAAAAATAACATATATACACTTTCCCGATACAGCAAACATTAAGTGAAATATAAATACGAGGCTACAGAAAATGAAAACTATAAAAGTTTCATGCATCTGAATCGCCTATCTAGACTTGCATCAGTAACACCCAAAGCTAACAACCCGAAAGGCAGAGCATAAAATAAATACCGAGCCACGGCAAGAGTCATACGACCAAAAGGGAAATAACAGTACAAAGACAAATAAAGAGAAACTATTAAGTAAATTAAATGATACACAAAGTCAGTACATACAAATATATTTAAATATATACTTTAACCCTGCCACATTCTGTATATGCCTTTCCCGAGTCAGGAGCCTGTTATTCAGTGCATGGTTGTTGTTTGTTGCTGTGTTACATATTTGTTTTTCGTTCATTATTTTGTACATGAATTAGGCCGTAAGTTTTCTTGTTTGAATTGTTTTACATTTGTCATGTCGGGGCCCTTTATAACTTACTATACGATATGGGCTTTGTTCATTGTTGACGGCCGTACAATGACCTATAGTTGTTAATGTCTGTATCATTTTGGTATCTTGTGAAGAGTTGTCTCATTGGCAATCATAAAATATCTTCTTTTTTTATATTCAAGACCATTCTGTAATATTTTTGAATAAGATTGAGAATGGAAATGGGGAATGTGTCAAAGAGACAACAAACCGACCATAGAGCAGACAACAGCCGTAGGCCACCAATGGGTCTTCAATGCAGCGTTGACTCTGAATATTTTTCTATTTGATCTTGGTGTCTTCCAATGATCTTTTTTTTTTAAAGGACGAGGAGTACTTCGACAAAACCCTTACTAATTACATGTTTTGCTCAAACACCATTCTGAAGGAAACTCTGAAAACAGCAATTGAACAAAAAACAATAAGAATTCTTTTGTCATACATTTAAAAGTGCATAGGCTATTGTATTTCAATATATCATATAAAGCAATTTTTATTATCCGTTCGATTCGGTAACAATCTCTTATTTTTTTATATAACGTAACTAAATACATTATAGGGATCCTGCTCCTAATTATTCAGTACGTGTGGAGAAAAACTTCGTAATTTCATTTCTTAAGGATAAAGCTATTTGCATTTTATTACTTTTGTTGTTAATAATACAAACATACCGGGTCATAATTTAGATGACAAATCTTTAGGTATTTACTACTATTGTAAGCTCGCTTCAGTAGTTTATTAAGTCCATATTTAAAAGGTAAGCCGTTATCGTAGTTTCAATTCTGTTGTCGGTAATTTTGTAACATTGATCAAATGTTTTAAAATATTAATAGTCGAACACATGAGTAGTGATTACCATCTACAACCAAAATGTTAGTACAGATGAACGTTTTTTACATGTTCTACATAAAGTTTTGCTATCCAAAACTATGCTGTCTAATAGAATTAGAACGATGTACAACATAACGTTATATAGGGCATTTAAAAACATTTATCTGTACTAACGTTTCAGTTGTCAATGGTAATAACTACTCATGTGTTGGAATATTAATATTTTAAACATTCCTGGCAAAATTTTAACAGTAACATTACTAAATGTCTTTGTTTTGCATATAATTTTTGTTAGAAAAGTAATTCAACAGGTTATCTTTACACTTTTTCTGGACTAAAAAAGAGAAACAAATATTGATTCTTTCAATTTTATTCATCAAAATATTAAATAAAATTCAAGAAATCGTATGTATAAACAATATCCATCAATGCATTACTGCGCCCATAAATAAACAAAAATTGTTAACACACAAATTATTTCGCCAATGAGTGAAAGTTTAACCAAGGTTTCGAACCACTCCATTTAACCCATTTGGTAAAAAAACCTTTGCAATTATTTCGGGAGTTGTGGGATAAACCAAGATGAAACACTTTTCACCTTATAGCAATTTTGCTTTGTTAAGGCTTTAGTTTTTGTTTCCCTAATTTCCAAACTAATAAAAGTCGAATTTCATCTAAGTAACGTTGCCATGAGTCTTCACTTTTCTGCGAGTATACATTTTAAATGTTTACACCCCGTCATCTTAAATCTATTATTGAATAAACATTTTTAGAAATTTAAATCGGATTCAAAAATTCATATTTCAACATTATAACAAAATCTAAGATATATTTACATAATGGGTTATGTAAAATAATATTAAGTTAAATGATAACGATATCCTTTGGGTTGTAACAAGTCTTGCATACGAACTGTTCACCTTATTTGCAAATACTTGCCACAGTTCCACGCATTTAGGTAGGATAAAAACACTTCTTAGTGTTTTCTTTTTCGGACAAGGAATGTGGCTAATAGATCTCTCTTGGCTGTATTTGTGCCTAAGTCCTGAAACTTCTCTTGTAGTTTAATGGTTTTTTTCGTCCGGATTGTTCTATAGATCCTCAAACCAATATTATGCATGTGAATTCCAGGTTCCATCTTTAGGAAAGTTTTCGTATTCGTCCATTGATACAATCGTGGAATTTAGATTATTTACTTCTACTTTTTGTTCAAGTTGTTTTTGTAACCTTTCAATACAATCTGTCAGCATGTTGGTTATTGTCTTATGTTGTTGTCTTATGTTTTTTAGTTGTAGCTCGAACAGATTTTTCTTCTTTGAAAGGTGTCTATCTGTTTGGCAAGAGTTGTCGGTGGATTTACATTTGGGAATTTTATTACAAAATACGTGATCATCGTAGTCTGGTTCAAAATCTTCCTCGTCTTCAATTGTGAAATATTTGAAGGCTTTTTGTAAGATATCCGGACTTTCTTCTCCGTGCTGCTCCTTCTCTGTGACAATGATGAAGGGTTCTATTGAAAAAGTGTCTTCAGATAAAGATGTGTTGTTCTGGACATGCTCAAGACTGGGAATGTTATGTTTTCTACTGCATTCTTTTTACATGCTGAGGTGACCGTAACAGTCAGTTTACAGTTATCTCTGTTTGAACAGAATCTATTTCTAATACCTGTATATCCCCTGTCTTGTCATATATAAAGGTTAATTTTTGGTTTGTATGAAACACCGATGCACTGTTGTGGTGTCAAGTTCTGATTTATATTCATCTACATTTTGTACAATGTTTCTGTGCCATTGAATAATGTTTCTTTGATGAAGATGTGAAAGAGCACTGATTTTCATTCGTGATAAAAATGGT